TTTTTAACCCAGAATGATTTGCAAGTGCCTACAATATAAAGGTATTAAAACTTTATAGTCTCTAAAATAGTCATGAGGTCATGTGAATAACAGCAATATACAGGAAAGCGCTGACAAAATTGAACTTAATATCCCGGAGCAGTTCGAGGTGGTGGACAGTGATCGCAGCTACCTCCGGGTCCGCTCTCTCCAAGTGGTCCTTGTTCGCCTGGAGCGCCTGGGTTTCCTGGTGGTCCATCCCGTCCTGGATCTCCAGGTGGTCCTTGTGGTCCATCTTGTCCTGGTTGGCCAGGTGCTCCTGGTTGTCCGTCTGGTCCTGGTGGTCCAGGTGGTCCTGGAGGTCCAGCAGGTCCATCGGGTACTGGAACTTCCTCGACAATTCCAGGCGGACCCTGCTCTCCAGGTTGGCCAGGCTGTCCGTCGGGTCCAGGTGGTCCTTGTGGTCCAGGGGGTCCAGGTTGACCTGGTTGACCATCTGGTCCTGGTTGTCCATCGGCTCCTGGATTTCCAGGTGGTCCTTTTGGTCCTGGGTTTCCAGGAGGTCCTGGTGGGCCAGCGGGGCAGTCAAAGCAGAAGTCATCAGCAGTTGGCACAGCATCTGGGGCAGCATCAGCTCCGGGCTCTCCATTGGCTCCAGGCAGACCGTCTTTGCCATCTGGTCCATCTAGTCCAGGAGGACCAGGAGGTCCAGCTGGACCAGTCTTGCAGCTGCAGCACAAGGGTGCCTGTTCAGAAATGTGTGCAGTTGAAACTCCGGCATCACCAGTATCATATCCAGCTTGACGCTTGACGATTCCTCCTCGAACTCCCTTTACTCGCTGCATTCGTTCATACTGATCGAAAAGACCGTTCGTTCGGTGTTTACAGAAGTCAACCTCTGTTTGGAGGGAAGATTGTACATGTTGCATGTAGTTGTAAAGAGATGGAATAGCGACAATAGCCGTCAATGTAGCGACGGTACTGCAAAATAACAACGAATGAAAGGCGAAAATGAAAATGAAGATAAAGTAGAATGGCAAATACAAGTAAAGTTATCAAAAGGGGAGTTAAAATCACCTGATACAGATGCCAAAGAAGGCGATGCGGCGTAGACTCTCCGCCTCTTGCCACAGCTTCTTCTCGTCACTGCTATCGGAGGAATACATGCCGATATCTCGGAAATGGCCTCGGGCTGGTTTTATACACGCGGCATTGCCCCGCCTCCCACATCGGTTTACCGGTCCTTGTGGGGGGACTTCGCGGATTTTTACAACGACATACCGTGCCAAGTGTGAGAATAGTGCAATTTATCACCATTACCTCAGCGCAGACTATTCGAAACACACCTACTTGCCGAGTAGGAAGAAAGGGAAATTGCGAGAGAGATCATTGGTAGCGACAAGCGGCCGCCATTTGGATTTCTCCTATTACAGTGTTTATTCAAGGACAGTCGAAAGCGTATACGCTGGCACATTTCTAGCATCAATTTTTCAAAAACAGTAAACTGAAATGAACTTTTGCTGAGCCTAAGGCATTTCTTCTTTTTTTAGAAGAAGGGATAAACTAATATGTAATACTATGAGTTAGTCAGCTCTACATAACATCCTCGTAGGGAAGTTAGCTCATGTTATATCTGTCTATTGAAAAGAAATTGCCTTTTTAAAAAGCTACGCATGATTATCCAAAATGCTGCTGTAGAACTGGTAGAGCTTTCGCGTTCTTTGGTCTAAGCAAATAGTCTTAAGTGTTTAGGTTTTGATGAGCATACTGATTTTCTTCCTCGAAGTCTTTCATTTTTACCAGCTTCTTCAGCTTTTTTGAGAGCCCGAAAGTCCCTAACTTGTCTGCGATGTGCCAAAACGGTTCATCTTCTTTTTGCATTGTAGATGTGATTCTGTTCTGTAAATACCCTTAGCGCAAGCCGTTCCATTTACTGAGGTGCTTATCTCACCCGCCTCCACATCAATCCGATGGCGTTCTCAAGATGGGCAGACGACATCGCGATGTCCAGAAAGGGAAAAGACAAAAAACAAGAACGATTGCGCGGATATCTTTCCTCTCAATAG